GGTCACTTATGAGGGGTGTATTTTACACTACAGTTAAACGGGGGGGGGCGGGGGGGGGGGGAAGTGAAATGTACATGGAAATAATAAAAAAAAACACATTCAAAGGAACTCAGTAGTGTGCAGATGCATCAGTCACAACAACCACTAACTCATTTAATTACATATTACATCCATCAAAGGTGGGGGGGACGGTCTCCAGAGTCATGACAGCGTGATGCCAAACAAGGCCAAACTGCCACAGCAACACGGGCTGGTGGAGGCTTAGTGGGTTGTGATGCTGTGCCTGTGATCAGAAGCTCATGGGTTCAAATCCAAGGATTGAGTGATTTCACCTTAAACCTGAGCGAGGCCCTTAACCCCCATTTCCTCCAGGTACTGGGTGAGCCCCGCTTTCTCAAAAACACACGTCACTTTGAATAAAAGTGTCTGCTATATAAATAAAAAATGCGAGAGAGAGACTGGACCTTCAACTTGACACCACTGACAAGGCTTAGATAGATGGGAAGGCAGTCGCAGGAAGTGCAGCCTCAGCAAAGGCTGCAAAGTCGTGACCTTCACAGAGCTGCAACTCATGGCAGTGGAGGCATTTAGGAACTGTTTATGTCCTAGGCTGATTCACCAAGATGCATAACTTGGTGTAAGGAGCCCGGTCCTGAATCTCTAGGCAACTGCGACAAAAAGTAATGCAGTCAGATGAGTCAGGATTCACCCTTTCCCGACACAGAAACAGGTTTACATTTGGGGGGGGGGGGAAGATGTCTCCAACCCACAATGTCTGCTGATATGGGATGCCATCTCATGGGAGCCATTAGGTCTGGCGAATGCCCTGCGTGGTCCTATAACGGCCAAGGAATGAGCCCATTTTGCAGGGCCAGGTGGTCTCTTCGGTGCAGACGCTGCGGTGCAGACGCTGCTCCCGTATTCCAAGGCAACAAAGGCCCACAAACACTGCTAAACAAACTCAAGTGCAGATTCATGGCCACGCGGATGAAGCCAGCGGCATTCCAAGGTCACCAGGTCCAACCATCCCTGAACCTTAATAGAAAGTTCTGAAACATTTTCTTCTTAAAAAATCGTTCGACCTACAGCTATTCATGGTAGTATGACAGCATTCCAAGAAGGACTAAAGATCCTTTTATGACAAAACGTGACCCTAAAATCATTTTACGCCATTCATATATTGATAGATCTTTCCATTTTGTCCACCCCTTACATAGGTATATATATATGCATGAATTCTGATGAAGCCTATATGAATGAGACCTGAGGATTTAAGCAGCTGCACGGTCAACGGCTAACCAGTGAAGTTTGCTGTGTGGAGGATTGCTTAATATGAAAGAATGAAGAATAAAGTAATATTAATGACTGAGATTCGCCACATCACCTTGTAATTCATAGCGATAATAATACTGTTAAATCTGGCGTGAATACGTTCTTTTACTATTATTTCAGAGAGGTTAAACATCGCAAGGCACATGTTTCTCCGATGACAACACTTGCCTATATATGAAGCAATTGATGCTGGTCCCATTGAATGCTGGAGAGGAACCATAAATGAATGAGCATTTCATAAAATAATGCCCGTTTTTATGTGCAATTTCCAGCGCTTTTACAGCCTACTTAGAGGTTAGAGAACAAAACTCCCCGACTCCTTTTTAATTCGTCTTCTCAGTACGTTTTACCGTGTTTATTATGCGCCTGAAAGTAATTTGTTCGGGAGGCAATCAATGATATTTTGGCATATTAAGCGACCTTCTGCGATCCGTGTGGGTATTAATATACGATGATGCCTCCATCGCGGTCTGACAGAGGCAACGGGTCAGCGCAGCCCGAGAGACGCGGACTCACAGTCCGGTGTCGCTGGCGCACATTACCCGCCAATTTGAAAATACTATAAAATAATTACCGACAAAAACATATTTATACAATGAGGTCGACTTCATTAACAGCGGCTGGAGGCCCGACTGCAACGTGTCTATTGAATTACAATGACTGGGAAAGCGATTTATAAATATTGCGGAGTTTTATATGGCACTGCACAACCGTACAAAGGAAATGAGCGTGAATTTAATTTTATACCGATCATGCCCCTTCAGACGCGGGTCTCTACTGCACAAACGGGAGAAAATGACTCCAGTTTAGCACTAAATCATACAGTTTATGTTCCCTCGGTCTTTGCCAGGCTTGGTCGGACGCGTCCGTGCAAAGTAAATCTTCCCAATGAGTCTATTTATGTCCATGCAGAACACACGTATATTGTAATGCACCCAAACACTTTGTAGATGTTGACTCATAAAATGACTAGAACTCGACTCAAGAAAAATGACACTAGCTTTAAAATAAAAAATAAACGTGAAGATCGCGTGGATAAAGACGAGCAGTCGAGAAATTCGGTCGCGTGTATCAGCAGTGAAAAGGGTCCAATACAAATGCGTACACTGATTTCTGTATTTGCATTTTATCGGCACGTTTTTAAAGCAGTACATGTAGATTAATGAACGGGTACTACTGTCATTTGGTTTTCCAAGTCGTTTGTGTTGTTACAATGACCATTATAAACGTGACAAAGAAATTAATAAGAACCAGCCAAAGTAACAAAAGTAACATATTAACGTTTCTGTTATGTTTCAGTTTAACTTTTAACGTTACACCTAGATAGGCCTATTTAGGAGAAGAAAAAAAACAGCTATGAGCCTGGTAATTATGGGGCTGGATTTGGGTAGGCTATTTAAAATATTTGTGACTCCCCTTGTCACCTTGCAAATAACATTAACAGGCCTAATAATGACACAAATTTACCAAAAACACAGTAAACTTGAAGAACCACAAACTCTACATCACCGATTTCAAAGTTGTAAAGATGTTTTATCGCCTGCCTGTGTTAGCCGTCTAACCAAAGTCATTAAAAGGATGCAATTAAATACCTTGTTATTTAGTGACAAACATTAACAAAAATCACCCAAAACGACAGCGAGACCATACAAGCCTACGGTCGTTTAAAAAGAAAGAAAAAATTCCCTGTAGGAAATATCTGCAGCTAATTACAGATAAATACCAAGACGCGTTATTTTATAATCTGATGCACGTTTCATTTTTACTGCCAGAAGGATTTTGGCAAAACGTAGTATGTTAAAATAAGCGTGAACATCTGTGGCCTTTCTTGAGGGAATATTGTATAACCGATCAGAAGTTCATCCTAACGAAGTAACTGCTCGCCTCGACGTCCGCACAACTACAGCCGCGGGTTACAAAGACTGTCAGTCTGGGTCCTGTAGTAAGTTATCCTGTTAAGATGGTTAACAACTGTATCCCGGAGGTAAAAAGCTTCCCCGACCACATTGTTATTTTAGCCTCGTAATTTTAGAGCAGGCAGATTGAAAATCAGGCGAAGTTGAATAATGATGGAAAAAACAGAAAACATTTTGAAAGCCCTTCAAACCCGTTCTTCTCTAAGTACACAGAGGAAAATGCATCTGCTCTAACTACCGCACACAAACTCACGAGCTGTACTTTTCCATGAAGACCTTATTTTGGGGCAGGATCGCTGCAAATTGCAACGTAGTCGCCTTTCATCCGAGCAGATGCCATCGGTCGGCGCAAAGTAAAAGTTTCTTTTTATACTCGGCTGCAGCGCAAAAGCCAGTTAAGTTTTTTTGTTTCGTTTTTCTGCATGAGACCCACCACGGAATTGCTCCGGGTTTCAAAGTTTATTAACAACGGGATAGTTTCGCCGACAAACCATCTAGGCTGCAACAGAGACAACTGTGTGACTGCAGATCATCACCCTTGTTAACTGGAGCCTCTTTCCGAGCAATTAAAAGATTAATTAACGATACATGGCGGAAACCCTTACCTTTAAATACTTGTCCCCTGACTGAAATCAGAAAACTGACCGCAGCAAAGAAACAAGTTAAAACTCTATCCATTGCGGAAGTGTTGCGGACGTTACACCCCCCAGATCCCGGGGTACAACTCTTCCTCTGGGGTGGATAAATATTCCTATATTTGCGGTCTACATGCGAAACGATGGAGAGGCTTTCTTTCCCTCTTTCCCTACTTTATTGTGCTTGTTACTATGTTCTCCGCTCCCGAAACGGAGCTCAGGAGGCATCTGACGTCACTTGGCTGGGAATAAAACCTGGACCCCGTTAGATCTCCAGCAGAGGGGGCATTATGCGCTAAAATGCCTCCATTCACAGCCATACTTCATCGCACAATTAGGGAATTTATTTAAGAAAATTTGACCGTTTTAGCCGGTGTGTTATTCCCCTCATGTGTGTATTTGGGGTATTTATTATAGGTGAAGGAGGCGCATCTGAATGAATAAATCGTCCGCGGGAATCTTTTGAAAGCAGCCTCTTTTGAGAGCAGATCTCCCAATGATTTCGGGACCCGGGTGCCTTTTTCATTTCTCACCGTGAACCGGGTGCATCTGCAAGTTTGACTTCGCAGTAGCCTGGCGATATACCATGTTCTATGCACTCTCCGAGAATGAAAAGTAAATTGTTTAATGTGGGGGGTTATTTATGTCAGACACTACGTCGGAAGATTCGTAAATACTTTTTAATGTAGCTTAATTCGATGTATAAATCCAAAAAGGACGATCTGTTTTTTAAGTTTTCTACATCAGCGGGCATAAAATCTCCCAGACAGCAAGACACGTGGAACAGTCGACATGTAGGCTACATCTGGTTTATTTCGAGCAAGACTAATATCTTTCATTAAAAGCACTTCACAGCTAATCCGAAAAGGACAGATGTCACCGTATTTCCAGACTGGTGTGTTGTATGAATGTGGTAATTGATGTAATATCGCATCTAAAAACGAGGCACGTCTTGCGAAACGGACTGCCTACGTTTCCAGGCGATTCTTGTTTTTGCCAAACGCGTCAGTAAACATACACTTACATACTTGCAGAGTAATGGCTATTTTCAGCCTGATAAAATGTGTTTTTATCGTTAGTCAAGACCTCCAGGATTTTAGACTGGATGTAGAAGGAGGAGCGTGTATCTTATAGGCAAGTGAATCGCAATGTGAGACTTCTACTTCCCATGTACCTATCGTGTCATTTTCATATGCGTTGCCGGTCTGTGTAGTTTTCAGTTTGTTTTTTTTTTACTTACTACGGGCAAATTACCGACATGTGTCACAGTTTGTTACTCTGTGTGTCCAGATATCCCGATCGATTCAACCGGGAATTAAATTGCTTTGAAAATGGCACTTACCTCCCGCCTCAGAGTGTCAAACACAGCAACAGATAGTACATTTCTGACACGATCGACTCTATCCAGCTACAAAACACGGCTTGTTAAGTCTCGCCAGCACTTAATTTTGAGCTCGTAGCTCTGTACGTCTCTTATTGCAGCCCTGCTGTTAAGTTTCATTGATTTGTCCTAATACATACACGAGGTGAACGGATGAGCTTCCTACCACAGTATGATAAATACTGTATAGCTATAAGTATATACCGCATGCAACTCTGCGTGAATTTACACGCATTTGTGCAATTCAGCTGAACAATGATCAGAGGTAAGAATACTTGGGTTTTGTACGGTACATGCTGAGCTTCTGGAAAGTTCACATCGGGTGACATTTTTGTTTTGTTTTGCAAAAACTTTCACTCCGCTTTGCCCCTAATGCTGGTGGCTCTCCTGCTGGTTGGTGTGCGTGGGCAACAGGAACGGGCTTCGTGGCCGGGAGCTGCCAGCTGATGTCCCGGGGGGGGAGGTACCAGTGTACCCTATTTAAATGGGAAATGCCAAGGCTGGTGGTGTCTTTCTCTCCGGCAAGGCAGGACACTCCTTCGTGGGGAGCCTGACAGATGCTAATGTTAGCAGCAGGAGGCGGTTTGGGGGAAAAGGGCTTTGCATTCAGAAGGTCGTAGGTTCAACTCCCCAAAGCGGCTCCCCTGTTGTACCTCCAACAAGATGCTAGATACACTGATCATCATTCAACTGCACAACCAAGGTGCTGGAGAATCATTAAAATTATGTTATGATATCACCAATGAATTCTAATGACTCTCACATACCTACCGGAAGGTGTGAGTCGAGTCTCATTTAAACATATTAAGTCATTCTAATGTGTATATAAACAATCATACATTATGGACAATTTAGAGACACCGGTTCACCACACTGCATGTCTTTGACGTTGGAGAAAACATAACCTAGCACTGGGAAAACATGCAAACTCTTCACATACAGCCAGGGGCCCCACTAGAGTTTTTGGGCCCTGTGAAAGCATGGCTGCAGATATCGGGCCCCCTACCCAGACCAATACAACTATGTTCAAAATTGTTCCCTCTGGGGCCCTTGGAATTATCCTAACACTCCACCACCACAGCCCACCTGCACACAACAGGGCTCATCTATCTATATATTTTCAAACCACACATATATATTATATACTCAAATATTTTGCATGCTTGGTATTGCTGCTGTCTCAGGAAGCCATTTAAATCACAGCGATAACTGGCACTACACTCCCAGCAGGTAATGCTAGCCTCTCAGAACTGTGATATCCATTGATATCCAATAACTGTGATATCCATTGATATCCAATATTGAGGGCACACGCACATGTACAGAGAGAGACTTGTAAATTAACAATGAGGCATCAAAATTAAATTAATTAGTGATCACTATAGGAGGTTATGCTTGTGCACAGGGGGTGAGGAGAGCTCGCCATTTTTTTTTGCACGTTTTATTTTTTTAATGAAACATTTTCTTCTACTGTAACTCTTGTAAATGAGAGAAGAAGATTCGGGAGAAACATGGAGCAGTTTACCTTAAGTCATGTATCTGTGACTCAGACCAGCTCAACTTTTCAGACGGCAGAGATTTTGCTGTAGTCAGTATATTTTTTTCTTTCTGTCCTCAAGCTCTGTATAAAACGTTTTTTTTCCCCCCTACCCTCCTTGGCACACATGACAACATTAATTATTTGTCTAATTGGATTTAAAAGGTAGCCTTTGGCACCCCAGATATACAGCCCCCTGGTGCTTTTCAGCATGTGGACAAAAGTACAGCGTAATTCAAATAATATTTTCAGAGAAAATGTAAATTAAGTGTGAATCCAGGCTAGGCAAGGTGTTATACCCTGGGTGCGTATTTTAATTACTTTTTAGTGAGGTCTGCCTCACGGTGATGTGCGTGTATAGTCTGTCGATTTTGCGTCATGGGTGTGTTTTTATCAGTCTTAACGCTTCTCTGATGGAAGCCAAGTCGGTAGCTGGACTTACTGCTCTTAGTGGCACAGCCGGAACGCGGCTTGAGATATAAACAAACCCGTCACCCGCCGATAGCGAGGGGTCCACCTAGGACAAGGGGTTGAAGAAAAAGGGACGGATGGATGGATGGATGGATATTGCACAGTCTTTATGCAATGTCAGGCTGACCAGAAGTAATAGCTAATGTCAAATTACCTCCTTTTTTTTACTAAAAGTATTAAAGTATTAAAGTATTAAAATTATGACACTGATTGATTCTTTACCAGAACAAGGTATGAAGTTTGGTGTTGTGGGTCCGTTTAATGCTGAGTTTGTGAACACAGAGACACCCATCAGTGGAAAGTGCGTACATATGCTCTTCAGCCCTGTCGTGGTTGTCAGGGGCAGCAGGAGGACTGGTCACAGATCCTGGAAACTCGGGGCTTAAGAGGTATTGCTATTGATTGCCTAATCGATCCCCTTCAGAACTCTTACATGCTTATTACATCATAAGGTGCCCAAGGCTCCCAAGGGATTTCAGGTTCTCATTATTGAAACAAAGTCAGGCTCATAAGGAAAGTTCAACAAGTACCTTGTGGGCAACATTCTTTTGTTGGTTTGGATCCATCCTTGTAGTGGAAAAACAGGTTAAATTTTGCTTGATCGTGATCCACTACCTGGTGGTAGAAGTCTGACGCGTTGAATGCTGAGGATACGATATTGAGTTTAGTTCTTAATGAGTAGATTTATTCATATGATATTTTAACACACAATATACTTAGAGCTGGTTTGTTTGGCGCGACAGGGCCGACATGCAGACACCATCACACACAGCAAATACGGTCAATGACTGTTTCGCGTTGCACCTTCACCCCTGGGCCTCGAAATCTCAGCACCTTTAGTAACAACCATCGCCTCCTACAGGTGGGAATACACTCAGATAATAATAAAAATCACTACATCTCATTACACTTATTACAACAATATATATATATATATATATATATATATATATATATTATATTATGAATAAATACAAATAAATATAAACATTAAATAAATCAATTTCAACAATATTCATAAATAAGTCCAGTATAAACACAAGCTAAATTATGTTTAATAAACAATTGAAAGAATGGCTGCTACAATCCTTTAGTGTGTGTGTGAGTGTGTATGTATGTGTGTGTGTGAGTGTGTATGTGTGTGTGAGTGTGTATGTATGTGTGTGTGTGAGTGTGTATGTATGTGTGTGTGTGAGTGTGTATGTGTGTGTGAGTGTGTATGTATGTGTGTGTGTGAGTGTGTATGTGTGTGCGTGTGTATATGTGCGCGAGTGGGTGTGTATGTATGCATGTGTGTGAGTGTGTGTGTGTGTATGTGTGTGAGTGGGTGTGTGTGTATGTGTGTGTGAGTGTGTGTGTGTGTGTGAGTGTGTATGTATGTGTGTGTGTGAGTGTGTACAGTATGTGTGTGTGTGTGTGTGTGTATGTGTGTGTGTGAGTGTGTATGTGTGTGCGTGTGTATATGTATGCATGTGTGTGAGTGTGTGTGTGTGTATGTGTCTGAGTGTGTGTGTGTTTACCTCATATAGTACAGGTTTCTCTATATATATACACTTGAATATACTCCAATTTTGTCATTCAGTCCATTAATAAACATTAACGCTATTTGGCATTTCAGAATGGCCCATTGTGTGAGTGTGTACCCAGAAATAGACTGCCTTCCCATCCAGGTTGTGCCCTGGGCTTCTTGGCGCAGTCTCCAGGCTCACCACGACCCCCTCCTGGATGAGTGTTTATGGATGTATAGAAACGCTACGCTTGCGTGCTTTAGCTAAGTGTTTTGTTATTCCGCACTGACGTAACTCCTGCTGCTCCTGTTGTCTCAGATTAGTACTGAGTTCTCAGATTATTATGCTCATTAGATGTTGTAGCTG